ACTATGTATGAATAATAAAAAAATAAACTTTGTAATTTCTTTCACAAAAAATTTCTCTTAGTTTCCTGAACTGAATAAGGTTTGCTTACAAATAAATATTTTTCAATTGTAGATCTGCCTATGTAACATCTAAAACTCAAACAATTTTATGGTTTCCTAATAATATGCTGGACATAACTGCAATCAATTTTATATCCTTTTATTACTATGCCGAAGTCGTCAGCTAATTCCTGATCTTTATTTTGGCACACTGTAAAAAAATTTAGAACAGACACAGTGATCCGTGATCCATCAATTAGTAGTCTACATTCATTTTTTGCTAAATGAAGTCATAAGAAAACCTGTGAACTTCCAATTACAAGTAAATCAACGAAAGTACAATTTACATTGATTATAATCAATGTTCTTTAGCTTTTCAGTGTTAAATTCTACATGATTTCACTGACATGAACTATAGTCTTTTTAGTGTATCCAAGGATTTGAGAATCAATAACTTTTCTATAAACTAGACATAGTGTTTAGTACTATTCGAATGAAAGCAAATTCATAACCAATTACCACTGACATGACAGATAGAGGCATAGAAGACAAAGTCTATTCTATGAATTTTGCAATACAGGAATCCAAAAAATGTTCAAACTCCATAAGACTTTTTTAAATAAATATATTTACCGTCGTAGGAATTTACTTTCTTGCAATAAACAGATCTTAAAAACACTATGTTCTCACACAATTCTTAGTAAATTAGTGAAACAATTCCAGTGGTCAACATATTCTTCAAGACAGTTCATGGGTAAGGAAGTCATATTAACGCAATCAGTAAATGTATAAAAATAGTTATAGGTAGCACGCCAACGAGTTATCAAAACTCGGGGAAGGATATGACCTAAATTAAGAGATCCTACTCCTACCAGCTACAGATATAGAATTATAACTATAACTTGTTGTGACAGGCCAACAAAAACTGTTTAACTTCACAGTACGACAGTCACGTAAAGGGCGATGTTATGTCCATAATGCTTTTACAGAACATATGATTTTACCGATAAGTACAAAATCGAAATATTCAGTGTCGACTTTATTGATGTATAATGATGTTTAATGAGGCTGGATAGGACCCATCATGTCTTGTAAATCAATTTCAAAAAACTAACCGATTTTGGTGTGCCTATCCATCCTTATTCGGTTCTATGAATTGTGAATCATTTCAGTAATATAATTATTAATAAAACTATTGTAGTCAATTTATTTTAAAATTTTTTACTTATCAGAAGATGACCGTGCCATCCTCTGTCACAAAACCAGCTGAAAATCGTTTTTAAAAATTTGCAGATAGAAAACATTTTTTTTTCTGTTGGAAAACTGTTGGAAATAAATTTTAATACCAGCAAAAACAATAACTTCTGTTCGACATAATGGCCAATACATGTCTACTTCACAAATCCCAGGAATCTTATCATTATTTATTATTCATAGAGTGGTTGGTTGTTGGTTCTATCGAAGCCGTCACTGGCGTCGATGGTGACTAACACAAACATATGTTCACACACTTGCTCGCTGTCATCCGTTAGAGTTCGTCGAGCAAAAAGAACTCACATTTTCTTACATTGTTTTTGCTTCATGCTTTTGTGTTCGCTATCATATCGAAGCTAATAAGATTAAACAAATCGAAACTACCAACAAAATCAGTGCGGACGGAGTTGTTGTTGTCACTTCTGATTTCGCATTGGAGGTGTTGTTGTGATTGTCGTTGCTGCCCGTACTACTTACTATGGGACAAAATATACTATGTTAATTCAGTTATACTTTACCCATGTTTAAATTAAGAGCGCCTTTTGTTTGTTTTTTTAGCTGCTGATATTGTTTTCGTTGGCGTTGAGACTCAACACATTTTTGTAATTAAATTAAAAAAGAAATTTCTCTCAGCCTCTCTTCATTTCGCTTAATGCTCAATGCTACACACCGACACACCGACACACCGACTACCGACAAATTAGCAATTTTAATTGAAGGCATTAAGGTAGTCAGTTATCAACTTCCACGGTGGCAGATGTCGCTACTCACCTTTGCGCGCATTCTAATAGGCTCACCCACCTCGCTTTCGATTTGTTTTGTTTATCGTTTTTGATCATTTCCGTTCCGTATTATCGAACGCGTAGATGTGATGACAGCGCGCGGTTGAAGTTGTCTTTCAGTGGATGTCGGTACCTGGTAATTGGCAAATAGAATTAAAATTCCTCGAAAAACTGATAATCAAATTACTTAAACGTTGACTGGATGCTTTCCGCTTAGCAAAACAGTCGACAAAACTCTGTGTATTTTGTGTATTAAATAAAAAAGTGTCAAGATAATTCGATTAAAATTGTTAAATGTGAAGTGTTCTTTTTGGAAAGTGTATTTCTGGAATTGGAAATAAAAAGTAAAAAGTAAAAATTAAAATAAAATCTATCTAAACCAAAGTGAATAGAAAACAGTATGGAAATTATACACTTAATGAAATTCGCTCTGACTAACACAGATTTTATCTTCCATTAATTGGAATTAAACCATTTCCTTAGTAAACTTGTCCAATATTTATTCATCTAAAATCTACGCCCAATTAACCCACACTTAATAAGTGGTGCCATATTAATCTCCATTTCAAAGAAAAATGATCCTGATGTCATTAATTCAATTGTGGAAGTTATTAGATATTCATAAAACGTTAAAAAAACCATTTAAGGACATTTTTATGTTATATAATATAATATCTTAAACTAAAGGTCCTATAATTGGCTAGAATGCATCTTTATACGTTTGCAGCACCGTCAATAACAAATTTTTCTCGTATTTAAAATATTTTCTTTATTTGAATTTTCATTTACATAATGGATTTTATAAGAATTTTGCCACTCCTCTCTTATACTACGATTACCTATTCATATTCTAATCCATGTATACGATTTTATTACTCTTTTGTTGTGGTTGTTGCTGTGACCTGCAGGTATTTGTAAAGCAGATGACAGACATGGAATTACAAGACGTTGGCATGGGTTAGGATGTGGATTGTTATTGATTATATTAGTGGTTAATAGATTATTTGTGAATGAGAGTGAATTGGGAGACGAATAGGATTTAAATCGAAGTCAACTAGGTTCAAAACGGAGAACTCGAAAATTGTTATCCTTTCATGTTACTTGTTTTATAGATCACTAAAATCAACAACAACAACAACAATAGTGATATAAGGTTTTCGCGTAATCTTATCCCATATATTCGTGACTATTATTAATATTCATTAACTTAATATTGGATTGAGTCAAGTTTATTGCCAAAGTATTTCTTATTTTCAAATTGATTAGGATAGGTAAACATTTTAAAAATGCCTAAAATGCCTCCTTTTTTAGTTGATTAAACTATTGATTAACTCAGCAAAGATGTCGTGTAAATGACAACTTTATCTATATTCAAAGATTGAGATTAACTTTTATCATGAGCCAAGTTACTACTATACGTAAAACGAGAAGAACTTCTCAAAGGGCATCACAATTTCTTTTACATTTTTGACATCCAGCACTATTCGTTCCATAATAGTAAGCATTCCATTTAATAAATTGGACTATATAAATATTATGCATAAGTTAAAGTGGACAAGTTATAGTGCATCTTGTGTTTCACATTGTGCGGAATCTTCAAATGTGAAAAAAAAAACTGAATTTAAAACTGTACTTAAAAACCGTGATATGACCATCTTGGAGTAATAAATTATTATTTTATTATAAGCAACTGAAAATTACATATATTGGAGGTTCATCACATAAAATAAGCCCTCTATAATCTTAACGACAGATTTTTTGTTTGTTTGTCGTTTTCATTACTTGTTCTTTTATTGTAATTATTTTTATTGTTATTGAAACATGTGTGTACCTCTATGCTCAAGAAGTGATGTAAGAAACATCATCTCTTCCTTTCAACGCTCTGGAAAATTTATTACTTAATTATGCTGCTTACAATCGCCGGAATCTCCAGTTAGAAGTCTTATTTTATAACTTTTCCTCAAGTTTTAAGTTTAGAACATAAATACGTCTCAAAAGTAATAAATCTTTAGATTGAAAGCTTCTCATGCTCTAATCAAATGGAAGAATAAATTCATTAAAACTAAAAGTATTAAAGTAAGACATCTAATTAGAGATTCCGATTTCTCACACTCCACCATTTAATATAGGTAAAGATTTTAAAAAGTTTTGAAATTTTGTATAACTATTTTCATTACATTGCATGTGTATATAGGTGTTTATAGCTAGATTCTCGACATATCGTTCTTTGAATTTCAAAACTTAAATATTGATTAGACTAACAAGTAACTGCATTTACGCTATTTACCGGTAACTAACATATAATTATAATTTTTAGTTGTTGCTGATATTTTTCGTGTCCCAGCCTACAAGTTTGGATGTCCTATATCTCAAAAACTCCCCACCAAGAAGCAAACGCTTCTCCAAACGCATAGCTTTAATTGGTATCGGCGGAATTCCATTGAATTCCAATCTGGCATTTATTGTTTTATTATACCGATATGTGAGTTATATTTTAAATGCATGTGATCTCATTAAATCAGTTTGGATTTCTGATGCTATATACTTTAAGAACTATGCTATATCATACGCATTTATATATGTATAGCGTAGTTAAAACATTTATTTTGAATATTTAAAATTATTAAAGCCCGTTGTCGAATCTCGGGAACTCCTAAATCAAAATCCCGACAATATTGTACAAGTTCATTTCAACACTTCTTCTCTATTTTATTGCTAGTCAAGACACTAATTTTAAGCAATATTTGAGCTAAAGGTATGTAAAACTTGAATTCGATGTCCTAATAATAATGACAACAACGAAAGAAAACTAAATTTAGAGGGGCTACACTTAAATACATTTAATTTAATGTTATTTTAGGTTTTTCAGTTTAAAACCACAAGTTTTTTAGCTGTTGTTTTGTAATGGAATAAACTACCAATAAAGTTTAACTAAATAAATGAATGATTGACAAGCCTCCAAATAGGCAATATAAGACCTTCAAATACAAGTGGTTATTGAAAACTTTGATTAAGCTACCAAATGAATGAATTTGACTAATCACATCATGTAAAACTCAAACAAAGTAACTGTCGATGATAATCTTTAGTTTTTTATATATATTATTTTAAATATTACACATATCTCTTTCCAATGTGTGGCCCCATTGCTGTTGAACTCCGTATAAAGTAGCCCATCTATTTTCAATTCTCATAACATACACGAATTTGTGCTCTATTGATTTAGTATAGAGTAAAGTCTATCCCATTAAGATAGTACGATCGTTTTACTTTGTTCCAGACTCAACACCGTCCAAACTTCTTTATAAAGTTGTACATCTGTTGTTTCCGAGTCTCATTACCCCAAAAAGGTATCATACCTAACGTCTACTTTTAAACTTCCTCACCCACCTTTTTGTTCCATCCACTGGTCGCCACCTCACCCACTTATATAATATAATAAATGGCAAAATGAATTTGACGTTTTTAAATTGAAAGTGAGATTCATTGTCCAGTGATAGAATATATGTATCAATAAGTTTGGTGTAGATATTCTTAATAATACACCCCCATATATACTTTTCATATTTTCCATGAAATTGTGTACTTCAACTGAATAAAACCTCCAAAGACATATTTCTTAACAACTGATTGAGTTCCTCTAATAAAATGAGTTTATAAGCCATACAAAGAATTAAATTTAATACTTTATAAACAAAGTAAATTCCACATAACGCAACTGTAATGTAAATAGAGCGATAAGAATGTTTGCAGCGAAAGAAATATTGGATAAAAAACAGTCATCGTTTGTATTTAGACTTCAGAAAATTAGTTTTTTATTACTCGCTGGTTCGAAGAACGCGATAATGTCGTGAAGTTTTTCGAAAACAAAATATAGTACAGGAATTGAAATCTAGTGAAGTGTTAGGAAGGCACTAAAGTATGTTAGTACAAAATTGAAAAAACAAAATAGAATTATTGATGTGGTGTTTGTATTTGTTACATAAATGCAAAATATAAAATATGCTCTTAAATAAAGCATAAATCTTAATAAATCTAATCGACACAAAGCAAAAGCAAGTGACGTACTGATAACGGCAAGCGCCAAGATAAACTAAATTAACGTATCAATATCGTGTTAAATACTCGGTAATAGGCGAGGCAATAACAACACAACTTCAAGTACACTTGTGGTGAATTACCAAAGAGCGGCAAGAGTTGCCGCTAATGTTAATTACATATAACCCATTTGATTCTTTCTCTAGGCTAAATACTAAAATACACATTGTATGTATAGTGAATTTTTATAAATTAAATTAAAAGCATTCAGTCTGATAAGTTAAGCAAACACACAATACACACGCTTACTCTCACGCACTCGTGCACACACACTCAAACAAACAAATGCAACCACATGACAAACCATGTCCGTCCGTCCAATAAACGTATATTTCAATAACTAACCAACTGGTTAAATAGCGATTTATTCTTGACTATCGGTTAATAGTTTGCGCCACAGTAGCAGCGCAAAAATTATTAATATACTTTATTATAACAACAACAACTATAAACTATAAAGTGTGATAATCTAGCCGAGTGATAAGAAAACCAACCAACCATCCACACGAATCTTTAAATGCAACATGTCTTGTTTTCCACGTTTATTTCACCGCAGTAAAAGCAGCTTTAATCCCGCCATCGACGACAATGACGATACAGTACTCAACAACAGTGACAGCCCAGTGGTAAGTACAGCACTGCATTTCACAGCATTTCACACAGCATTTCCCACAGCATTTCACACTGCAAAATTACAAACTCAACATATGGTGAATTTCACTTTAAAACCATTTGCCTTCGCTGATATACACTGACACACAAATGAATCCAAATAAAAGCATATGTGTGCTACCGTATAGAACGCAACAACAACAACGCTGAGCGATAAAAATTATTTATAAACAAAAAGCAGAAATTGAGTAATAAAATTTATTGACTGCTTAATTCAGTTAATAAACATCACAAAAAGACAGCCATAAATACTTGCATTTAGACAATTTCCCAAAAGTATTAGTTAAAAAAAAAAAAACAGAAAAAAGAAAACAATAGAAACAACAACAGTTGCTTCTACCGCTACTGCTGACAAAGATAACAACAACAAATGCCAGCAAAAGTGACGTATCAAACCGATTTTGTTAGCTTATCACAATTGAGTTAAACATTTTCCGCAATAAAACAGTAAAAAATACTCGGAACGGAAAAAAAACCACTTTTTGCCGTGAAATTTTTTCAACTAAATTAACTACTCCAAATATTCGAAAAAGTTTCTGTAATTCCAAACTATAAATAAATTAGCATGGTAGAGCTAATTCTTCAATGAATGACCCATTGATTCTGATGGACATGAATAATGAGTAGGAGTATAGTGAGCTATTTTTCATTCACCACACATTCACTATAACAAGTAGTGAACTATTTGTTAGAGAAGAATCTATTGTAACTTGAGAATTTTCCCTTCACCTAGTACGAACTAGTTCGATACGAACCAGATATGATGATAACTACTATTTTCTGATAAAAATAATTTATAGCATTCCTCATCTTCCTTCAACTAGTAGAATCGATAAGAACTAGTAATATCGAAAATTGATGTTTTTTGGCTAATATTTTATTTTTGCAATTTTCGAACAGCAATTAATTAAATTTAGTGATTTAAAGTGTTCGACGGTCGAACATCACTATGTTCGAATTGATCGCACTTATTTGAGTATAAACATTTCGATCGAACTCTAAATGTTTGGAGAGCTCCATAGTATCCAAGCTAGTCGGGCAGTTCTACTGCTCTGCATATTATTTCACCTTCTTATGCTTTTATACAAATATATGTAATAAAGCAAGTTCTCGCACAGAATGTATTGTTTCAACATTAGCTACTGGAACATTGAAATCTGCAAAAACTACGATGACCTTAATAATATTTACAGCTCTCTCCTCATAGCTCGTCTGCTTCAGTGACATTATAATCTAATAATAAGAAAAACAATAAAATTCTGATATAGTTTCCTTCTTATATTTCAATACAAATATTAGAAGGCTGGAGGAAGCTATCGACTTTAAAAATCGACTATCAAGAAAAAGAAATATAAAAGAAATAGTCTGAGTTTTTGAGCCGAAAGTGTTTTTAGTAAGACTTCATTCATTAAGCCTGGAAAATATCACCAATAAGAATATTATTTTAAATATATAAGCATTGATATGCCTATGGGTGTATATATATAATTGCTGCTGAATGTTAATCTAACTACTTTACTATACTGCAAATAATATTCGACAAAATTATATATACTAGAATATCCCCCAACTCCAGCATAATTATCGAACTTTTATTATAATTCATTTTATGAAGAACTTCGACAAAAAAAGACTTCTATTATATACCCATCTAAACAATTCTGGCCACAATCGTAGCTATGCTACTGAACTGGTGCTATAATATCACTTAATTTATATATTTCTGAACGGGCTAACTAGTCAATGTTAAATAATACAAAACTTTTTTTTTTGAAACTATTTTTAAAAAATATATATTGCAGTCGCCAAAATTGTGACCATAGTCTATTGTCATCATCTTAGTCCGTTAATTTAATTAATAGCAATAGCAATAGCAATAGCAATAGCAATAGCAATAGCAATAGCAATAGCAATAGCAATAGCAATAGCAATAGCAATAGCAATAGCAATAGCAATAGGAATAGCAATAGCAATAGCAATAGCAAATAGCAATAGCAATAGCAATAGCACTAGCAATAGCAATAGCAATAGCAATAGCAATAGCAATAGCAATAGCAATAGCAATAGCAATAGCAATAGCAATAGCAATAGCAATAGCAATAGCAATAGCAATAGCAATAGCAATAGCAATAGCAATAGCAATAGCAATAGCAATAGCAATAGCAATGGCAATAGCAATAGCACTAGCAATAGCAATAGCAACTAGCAATAGCAATAGCAATAGAATAGCAATAGCAATAGCAATAGCAATAGCAAGTAGCAATAGCAATAGCAATAGCAATAGCAATAGCAATAGCAATAGCAATAGCAATAGCAATAGCAATAGCAATAGCAATAGCAATAGCAATAGCAATAGCAATAGCAATAGCAATAGCAATAGCAATAGCAATAGCAATATAAAGAATATCAGTAATATTTAATAAATCTAATTTTGTCTAATGTAATAAATCTATTTTGTGTCATTCTTTTACCCTGGCAGAGGAAAGCCATGATAATATACGACAAGACGTCAGTAAGAGCCACACCTGCCAGGATTGCCTTTGTACTGGTTAGTGTTCTTACCAGGGGAACAATGATATGAACAAGTGCTCAGACATGTGCTTTCTGAGTTAATTTTGATAACAGCACTGCGTTGCTATAATATAGCGATATATAATATAGCGATCAAGTGAGCAGATCGAAAGTATATGTATATATATCGTAACATCATGTATGAATTATTCATCAGAAGATATCAAATGCATTGATGTCTATAAAGATACCAGGATGTAAATAAGATTAATAAATCAAAAATGATTTTAATATTATATATACTGCCGATATATCTGAAAGAAGAGACCAACTGATATATTTAGGAATATAGTGCCCGGATTGAAGCCAAAGAATATTTTTTTACAGTAATCTCATCAAACACGTCAAAATTGTAACAACGCCGCACTCACAAATAAGGCAATGTACGGTGATGATTATTTTTTGAAATCGATTGTTCTTTTTTGATTTCTTTAGAAAGAATTGCATCTCTGTTAAAACCAATGAGTGTCACATTATGGTGTGCCTGTTTTGAGTTCATTACCATTCGGTTTATCCTACAAACAGTTTATTAAAGTGAAATTTAAAGATTGATACAGCTTCAGTAATCTATTTGATAATGACATTGGAGAGATTTCATATTGGAGTGTCTATTTGAATATTATTGGGTTAAGATTTAAGATTTAATATTTGACCGATTGAGGTACTGTGAATGAAGTTCTAAAAACTTATTTATTTGATATGGAAATGGTCGAATTTCGAATCTCAATATATATAAAATGATATAAATATTGAATCATTCTAGAGAAATACATGCACTGAGAATATATATTTTTAATTACTTGATAAAAGGTTAGATATTTTCTTTACTTTCAACACAACTAAAACTACCGACGGAATATATAACCTTAACTTTGATCTCTTATACTAGCATAAACTGCTTAAGTTTATATTTTAGAAATGTGTTTAAGAATTCGTGGAAAATCAAAGAATTTCCAGAAGTTAAAGAAAACACAGAACATTTTTTTTTTGATATAAAAATAGCCGGCCTGTCTACGTACGAGTATCTGGCAGATACTATCTGCTGCAGTGTTCCGGTGCGTGTTGTTGTCGTATTTATTTGTGTTTAATTAGAAAATTAGAAAAGATTATGTAAGTAATATACGGCAAAGAAAAGTGAACATTTAATTACCGAGCACTTGTGTTTTTTATCTTAAGTGCTAACGATTTCACAAAAGTGTTCGCACCAACGCTTGAGCCACAAGAATCATTTCAATGTTGTTTAATAAAGCTTTTCCATACATTTTCGACTTTTATTTATTTAGTTTTAATATAATTATTTCTGTTTTAATATAGACGACATGACTAAATGATAAATCTACGTAATACTTACTCATTAACAAATGAGCTCTGTCAGCTTGGTTAGAAAAGAAAAAGTGCTGTATATCGCATTTCAATCGAAAATTCTATATTTTTGGAATTAGTTAACTTTATTGGAATAATAAATTCGGATTCATCTAAGATTTTATGTACAAGCTATACACAAGAATGCTCACACCCTGAATGATACATACTATAAAAATGAAATTCAATTAAAAGCTCATTTTCTCTGAAAATGGTTCCAAGGAATTGGTGAACATGTCCGTAGGTATTGTGACAATTATGAGCGTGGAATGTATACGTCCAAGTTCTGTCATGCAACACATAAAAACAGATCTCCGATTCAAATGAAAAATCCCTTTCTTGAATATTTATTGAATGATGTAATAATAGATGTTAAGCGAAACATCCATTTTTGTTTTGGTTTACATATCAACCAATTTTAGTTACTCCACTACAGATCCAGCTCTTCTCCGTGGTAACTACGAAATATCTATTTTTTATTAACAAATTAAAGATACTTCACTTTCAAATCCAAGATTTATGGAAATCATCTCTATGTAGTGGATTATATTTTGGAAAGAATATCGAAAACACATAAATCGCATTAGGTGTGCTAATAAATTGATTGGCTTCTTGATATTGAACTACATACATTGAACTGCAATGGAAAACCTTCGCTGACTTATCGCTTATCAGTCTGTTGAGCATAACAAAATTTGCCGTAATCAATCATAAAAACATTTTGATTTCGTATAAAAAATTCGATAAACATTTCTTAAATGTCTTGTAGTAAATGTCAAATATACATATACTAAACTACATGTGTGAGATGATACGTACGATACTTGTATGGAATGGTTTGCTGCTCTATCCATACGGTTTTTCGGTTATACGGCACATATACAATACATATTTGTTTGTTTGCATACACTTGAAACTGAACGGCCTTGCCGGTATTTTTCTTTCTTACTGGCAAATACATTTCATGTTTACAATCAAAGGGAACTGATGCGTTCCGCCAGCAATGTTTACGCCCCCTGTA